GAGCCGCCGGCGCTGCCGGTGGGACCCCGTCCTGGTCCAGCTGCGGCGCAGGCGCGGAGATGGCATACCCGCCCTCGGGCATCGCTTCGTAGAGCTGCTGGATCTTGTCGCGGTGCAGTACGACCGCCTTGGGCACCGTCAGGATCGTGCCGAGGATCGTGTTCAGCGGCGGGGGCCGCGGCCCTGCGTAGCCGTTGCGCTCCCAGGCGCGGAACTCCTCGATGCGGTAGCCGATGATCGCAACCAGCTTGGTGTGCGCGCGCGCGAGCTGCGTGCGGACCGCGTGGTACCGGTAGGACCCGCGGGTCACGTCGTTGTCGAAGTCCTGCGGGTCCTGGACCGTCAGGTGATCGCCGCCGCCGCCGCCGCCGCCGCCTCTGCGCTCGTCCTTGCGGTAGTACCACGCGCCGTAGTCCAGCGTCACGGCGACGCCGATGTTGCTGTGGGTGAAACACTTGCCAAAGAATTCAAGGAACTCGAGGAACAGCACCCCGGCGTTATCCTCGGGCCGCATCGCGCCGCGGGCGACCTGGGGATGGGACTTGAGAAAGTTTGCGATCATGATCGTGAGCGCATAGCTGCCGATGCCGCCCGAGTAGACTTCGTTCAGCTGCCGCTGAGCGAGGAACTGCTTGAGCAGTACGAGCAGCGTGTAGAGGCCCCGGCCGATGCAGGGATCCTTCAGGAAATCGCGGACGATGCACGCGGCGTCCATGCCGTTGCTGCGGTTGAACGAGATATCCACGTGGAACCCGGTGAGGCGGTCCGTGAACTTGATGATGGGCACGCGGGCCTTGTCGATGACCTCGATGCTGTGGGGCTGGCAGAGCTGGTCCTCCAGCAGCTGGCGGCGCAGCGCGAACATGGGCGACGACCCGAAGATAACGTTGTCCATGACGACGAGATCGATGTCGCTCGACGGCAGGTAGAGCCGCGTGTTGAACGAGCCGAAGATCTCCACCGCGGCGTTCGGCCACAGCTGGAGGACCGACTCCGTCACGCGACGCACGACCTCGGTCCGCATCGCGTGCTCGCCCTCGGTCGGGCTCATGTACGCCATGAAGTCCTCGACCTCCTCCTGCAGCATCACCGTCGGGTCATCGCTGTAGCGCTTGCCGGGCACGACCCATGGCGGGTCCGGGACGGGGCACAGCGGGTTGACCACGGGCACTGGCGACCCGAACCGATCGGCCACCTGGCTGTCGACCGAGTTGTACGGCCGCAGAAAGGCGGGTTCCGCCAGCTTCGACGGCGCCGACTTGCCCTTCTTGCGGGTGGGGGCTTTCAACTTGGCGGTGGACCGCGATGCCGACGCGGATGCCGAGGCCGAGGCCGAGGCCGAGGCGTCCGTGGAGGCCGCGTCGCCGGGAGCCGCGGCGGCGGCGGACGCATGAGGGCTCTCGTCGTCGGAGCTCAGGTCGAGCGAGATGAAGCTCGCATTGGTCTCGGCCATGGTGCCGACGGCGCCGCGCCGCGCCGCGCCGAGACGGGGCGGAGCGGAGCGGAGCGAGCGTCCGAGGGGCGGCGTCGCACTCAGCCGCGCCGCGCGGGAGCAGACAAATGGGTTCAGCTCTCCGCTCTGATCAGCTCAGCGCCGTGTAGTCTAATGCACTCCAGTCTAGTCTAGTCTAGTCCAGTCCAGCGCAGAATGGAACGGCGGATGCGTGAAAGCGAGCATAGGAAAGCCCATCCAATTGATAGGCACGCGCAGAGCGATCCGGCGGGTGGCGCAACGTGCGTGTCGAGCCAGTCGATCCTGTCAATACGAGGAAAACGCGCTGGTCCCAGCGAAAGAAGGACACTCCGGAGATTCAGAAGGCAGCGAGCCGCGCGCACCGGTAACCCACCAAAAAGGGAACGATGGCGAGACGGGTGTTGGGACACGGGCACGTGGGGTGATGGACGGACGGAGCAGGACGACCCTCAACCGCTGGCATCCACGTGCCCAGCAGGGAGTACGATATCGCTACTTCTGCTCCAACACGGTGCCGCGATGCTCTCAAGGCATGGCCTTCAATGGCGCACCCCGTTGCGCTCTCGACACCAGCGATGGACTTCCCGCCATCTCCCCGCTAAGGTCTCCGCCTCGCCGTTCCGCTCGCCCCCGCAGTCGGGGACCCGCGAGCACCCGCGCCTGCGCCTGCGCCACGTCGACGGCCCTCCGCGACGGCCGGCGACGCCGCCGGCGACGCCACCGTGTGCCGGGCGCTGAACACGCGGTGCACCGACCGCGGCCGACAGCATCGCGCCGCCTCTGCGCTGGCGTCGACCCCGCCGCACGTGGCAGCGACAGCACGTGCATTGCCGCATCGGAGTATGCGAGGGCAGCCGCCGCATGACGTGGCTTTTCCCATCGTCGCATCCGCTCCGAAGGCCGCGGAGCAGTCCCCTGCTCCAGCCCCTGCTCCGGCACCTGCTCGACCAACGCGCCGCCGCACCCCGCCTGATCCCTGATCCCTGATCCAACCCCGACATTGCCCTCTCGCCCTCCCACCGGCTGCCAGCGATACTGCGGCTTTACGCGGACCACTTCTCCGAGCTTGCTGCGCCGCCGCCGCCGCCGCCGTCGCCGCCGCTGCCGCCGCTGAGGCCGCCGCCGCCGCCGCCGAGATGGCCGCCACGGCCGCTCCGGCGGCTCCCGATCCGACGCCCGCGACGCTCAAGACTTGGAGCCTCGATGCGCTCCAGGCCCACGCTGACGCGCTGGCCATCGACCGCTTCGGCAGCCGCGCCGCTCTGATCGAGCGGATCCGCCGGCACCAAGCCCTCGCGGCCCGCGGTCCCGCCGCGAGCCCGGCGCCTACGGACGCCGCCGCCACAGACGCGTCGGCGCCGGCCGCGGCCAAGTCCGCCAAACCGATACCCCGAAGGAGAAAGAAGGTCCGCGGCGCCACCGCCAAGACTGCCGCCGCGGCCGTCAACAGCGCCACGACCGCCGCACCGAACCAGACCACCTCGCGCCCCGCAGCCCGCCGCTCCTTGCTCTCGGACACGGAGGCCCCGAACGGTGCCGGCGCCGCCGTGTCGGCCGACGATTTCCAAGCGGTCTTTGCCCATTTCGCGCTGAACGACGACGAGGGCGCGGCCGCGGCTGAGGCCTATGGAGCGCGTCGCGCGGGCACGATGCGGACCGACGGGCGGCAGGACGACCGCGAGCTGTTGGGCTCAGATGACGACGACGACGTCGGCGGCGGCGGCGGCGGCGGCGGCAATGGCCCATCGGCCTCGTCAAACGACGCGCCGCGGAGTCCGAAGGGTGAGGGCGCTGAGGACGGCGCCGCGAATGGCCACGACAGCGACGACGGCAGCGAGGGCGAGGGCGCACAGGCCGTTTCCCGTGCCGCGAGGCAGCGCGCGCTGCGTGCGAAGCGGATCAGCGTCGCCGAGCTCAAGCAGAAGGCCTCGAACCCGGCGGTGGTTGAGTGGGTCGACACGACGGCCCGCGATCCGCTCTTTTTGGCCGAAATCAAGGCTCTGCCCAATACGGTGCCGGTGCCGTCACATTGGAGCCAGAAGCGCAAGTACCTGCAGAACAAGCGCGGCCAGGAGAAGGCGCCGTTCGAGCTGCCCGAGTTCATCCGCGCGACGGGCATCATGGACCTCCGCGAGACCGGGACCCACCCCGCCGACATGGACGGCCCGAGCCTGGCCCAGCAGGCCCGCTCGCGGATGCGACCCAAGATGGGCGGCATGGACATCGACTACCAGAAACTACACGACGCGTTCTTCCGCTGGCAGACCAAACCCGAGCTTTCCATTCACGGCGATCTCTACTACGAGGGCAAAGAGAACGTGACACGCATTCGACAGAAAGACCCGGGCCACCTGAGCGACGCGCTGCGCCACGCCCTTAATATCCCGCCCCATGCGCCGCCGCCGTGGCTCATCAACATGCAACGCTTCGGGCCGCCCCCGAGCTACCCCCTGCTCAAGATTCCAGGCCTCAACGCCCCGATCCCCGAGGGTGCTCAGTGGGGCTACCACCCCGGTGGCTGGGGCCGTCCGCCGCTCGACGAATCGAACCGACCCCTGTATGGCGACGTCTTTAGCACGGCCACCCAGCGCGGCAGCAAAGCCGCCCGCAGCCGCGCCAACAACAACGCCAACGCCGACCTCAGCCCCGGCGACGGCGATGGCGTCCGCGAGGAATGGGGTCACATTCCCAGCGACTTCTCGGACGACGACGACGTCGATGAGCACGAGGAGAACGACGGCGAGCCGGACGGGCCTGATGGCGACCGCGGCGGCGCGTTCCGCTCAGACCACGAGGCGGCCGCGCCCGCCGAACCGATTACGGAGTTCGGCAATGGCGAGGCCGGCGCGGCTTCGGCCGTCGCCTCGCCGCCGGGGAAGCGCCCGCCGGCCCCGGAGGGGACAGCGCCGCCGCGGTTGTATACGGTGATCCCGGAAGTGCGGGTCGATGGCGACCGCGCCACCCACATGATGGGCAGTGACCACCGGTACGACCTGACGGCGCGCAGCGGCGAGACAGACCGCGTGATTCTGGCGCCCGAGGACATGGCGCCACCACCTGCGGCAGATGGCACCACGACGGGCACGCGGACCCACGGCTCGGCCCGCGGCGCGGCCCACAAGCGCGCCCGCGATGCTGCGGCGAGCAACGAGTCCAAGAAGTTTAAGTTCTGAGCCGTACCGCGACCTGCTAGCCTTCTGTCGCGCATACATGATCATAAGAAATAGAAACAGAAACACATCGACGCGAGACACATACGGCGTTTGTCCTGTGCGCGAAGGCGAGTGGGAAACGGCGCCGATCGAAGTTTTTTACTGAGCGGGAATTGATTGTTGACCACGGGGTAGAAGTGTGCTCTTGGCGAACATCGATACGAGTTTGGAAGGCATGAATGGGTGACCATCACTTCAGCTCGTAGATATGCGCGCTCTGTGGGCTTTCTGATGTCGAGCAATATGTGCACCGGCACATTCTGCAAACACCACTGAGTGGCTCTCGTATATGCAAGGACGACATGGACAAAATGCTCCTACACGGGGAATCGAACCCCGGCCTTCTCGGTGAAAGCGAGAAATCCTAACCACTGGACCATGAAGGATAATATTTTTTTGTTATGTGGCGCCTTGTGTCCGCAGTTCCCGGGTCATGTGCCAAGTATTTATCTCTGGCATATGTGCGGCGCCCCTCGCTTGTGTGCACAGCACAGCAAAAACGTCACTGCTGTGGCGCTTGCGCCGTTTTCCAAGCAATGACCGCAAGGAGGCGCCGCCCTGAGAATTTTGCATGGCGCCAAGCAGCGAACGCAAGGAGGCGGCTTCATTTGAGAATTTTCTCGAGAACAGCAAAGCGGCGCCGCACAACGGCGCCATTCGAGAATTCTCTCGTGCCGCCACTGCGGAGCCGCAAAGCACT